ACAAGTAGGACTGATCCAATGCAAGCAGGGAGATTTAAATTTAATTTCTTCTTGTCTTTAGAAATAGACTCCTGTGTTCTTTCGAACATTTGCAGAACATTCACAGCACATTCGCAGAACATTCACAGCACATTCGCAGAACATTCACAGCACATTCGCTGCAAATGCTGTTCTGTGTTGACACTTTGAAACAAAGCCAAAGGTTCAAAAGCCTACATATAAAAGACAAGCAACTCTATGCAATTTCTTACCTTCTCATGCCTTGTTGTTACTTAGCAACAGGAGTAAACAGTGGCTGATTTGATGATCCAACCTGTACAAGTGTGAACACAAACCAGTGGGAGCAGAGGGAGCAAGCAATCTCCGGTTCGGATCAAGCAAGCGAACCAAGTGTGAAAGCACCCAAAATACACAGTACATCTGGATTTAAATACTCAATATGCAGTGCTATTTAAATCTCATTCTACACTAGTTTGTTGATGGTTTGTAGCTATTAGATGGCTTTTTTGTGATGTGGCAGTTACATGAAGGGTAGCCATTTTTTTTAACCCTTATGCTGCATTAGGGACATTTTTGGTCTTTTGCAGTTTAATTTCTTTGACCATTTTGGCTGTTTTAATGCAAATGGCATGACATTTGGCAAAATTGTGACTTTTTGGATACATGTAAAAAATGTGATCCCATTTTGCAAAATATGTATAACACACACTGTGTAGATCAAATAGTAACACTCAGCACCATAAAGACCAAAAATGGCCCATTGAAACCCATTAAAACGTTGTTTAAATCTGAGGCTGTCAGTAATACATGAAACATGATTTTTGCACAAACATCCTTTCATTTTGAAGCAAAAGCATTAGCATTATATAGTGTATTCCACCAGATGACGTCACTACATATTTATTCCCTATGGGTGGAAATGCACCTTATTTTAGGTAATAGACAATGTTTAATAGGTGGCCATTTTTGGTCTCTAACACGCTAAGTGGGATTTTTTGCAAAGTGGGACTGTGATAATCCAAATCTAAAGTTTTCTCTTTGCATTTAGTTTATTGAAAATAATTGAATTTTTGTGTTTTTTCCTCTTATACAAATCGATGGTTTCGCAAACAAAACTGGTAATTAAAGGGTTAAAATCCTGAAATTGAATACATTTTTGGTAGTTATGATGAGGACTGATGCTGGTTAAAAGATTTAACTTGGTAAAAGTGGAAAATAATAATAATATATAATATTTTAGGCAATGTTTAATATGTGGCCATTTTTGGTCCTTAATGCACTCAACGGTGTTAAAAATCTAATGCAGCACAAGGGTTAATAAACAATTTTTGTTGTATTGGTTGAAACTCAATTCACATCCTGATAGCATTTAATAATTGAAGTGGTCTAAATATTAAAACATGTAAATAGTCTCAATACTAAAAAGTGTTCATCCAATGATATGATGTCCTATCTGCCAGTCAACACTTGTATTTTCATACCTCCACACACCTGCTCGCACCGACATCACACATCAACAGTGTGTTCTGTAATGCAGTCACTGAGCGCCAAAAACAAAGAGCAGCCCCTTTTACAGTTCCTACTGAACAAGATGGCAACCCCTGACGTTCTTCGCTGGAGCTATTTACGTCCTCAGTTTCGGATTTATGCGTTTTTATGTCAACACTATGAACAGCGAATGTTATGTAATGTGATAATGTTATGTGCTTTGAACATGAGGTAATTTAACGCTTTGCCGAATCTGCTGTGTGTGTACATGTGTTTTGAAGGAGCCATGGATTTGGAGACGCTCTAAAGGGAGGGTTGGATCTCATGCTTTCAAAGCTAGCTTGCTATTGCTAGCGCTAGCCTTTCCAAAATTGCCTATCCTACTTTTAAGTGAATTAGTCCATCTGAGGAATAAGGAATGAACTTTGTCCAGTGCAGCTTATCCCTATATTGGGTTTAAGCTTTGGCCTCAAAATCGGTCTCAGAACAAATAAAACCGAAACATCAAAATTAGCTACTGTATTTGGGAACCCACATTGCAGAGAAGTAGGGAGCATGAAAAAGATTAAAGGGATAGTTCACTTTGAAAATAATTTTTGATATGTTTTAGCTTAACACATTTTCCAACAATTTTCCATCATAGTCATTGTGGCCATTTGAGTGTCTCAAAAAAAAAAAAATGTTTTGCCTTGAAGAGAACAAGTTTCATCCTGTGACATGAATTGCTTTTCGTAAAGATTCCTCTCCAATATTAGTGGCTTTAATTAACTGCACACGTCCAGTGCTTAACCTAGAAAATAGTTCTTCAAGAGTATCATCATGTTAATCGAGCAGCTGGTGTGCAAGAATAAATCCATTAATGTTGCCCACTTCAAGCACTCAAAGCAACAAGTACCGAATTACCCACTAACACTGAATAAAGAATTATTTCAGAAGTGCAGGTACTCAGTACTAGTGAGTAGTAGGGGAGACTGGAGCACAATCTAACACATTTTGGTTTTGGCTCAATTAATTAAAAAATAATTAGGTTTGATTTTTTTTTTTTTACACAAGCAACATACACATCTCTGCTACAAATAAACACTTAAAGTTTTTTTTTTTTCTAGGACCTACCATTTTCGTACAGTTGGACTGAAATTGACAGAAGTGCAAATGTTACAACTTACCCCATATGCGGGGTTAATTGTAACAGACAGAGGGGTTAGTTGTAACACTTTTGTGCAACACACATAATTCAGTACTATTTTATTTGTATAGTTTGATATTGTTTGTGCATCTGTATAGACAGATATCCATACATCCATCCCTCATTTAATCATCCTTTTGTTATGCATCAATATCATGGATAGAGACGTAGAAAAGGGCTGCACAGTTTTGCAGTAAATAATAATAAATAAAATTATAAATATTGTAATTGCAATTAAATTAGATTTGTGTGTGGCAGCTGCATGTACAATTATTATTAATAATAATAATAACAGTAATAATAATACAAATGAGCTCAAAATAAAAATTGAAAGGGTTTATTACATTAAAAACAGGCCATATTTTTAATAAATAAACAAGTTATCATTCATAGTACACTAAATTTTAAACATTTTAAATTCCAACATTGTTTGTGAAAGTCCAACAAAGTTAAATGTATACTCAGGCCACGTTTACACAAAGCCGGGTATTTAGCAAAAAAATGAATATTTTCCCCCTCTCCGTTTTCAAAAATAACATTGTTCACACACCCGCATAAATACGCCGTCGAGCACCATCATAACTATGCCAAACCTATTGGTGGCAGTGTAGGGGTTAAGGATAAAGCCTCAGAATCGACAAGAGAGAACCTAAAATGGCGTTTCTCCCTGTTTACACGGCAACACATAACCGGCGTTTTCAGAAATCACTTTGCCTGGAGTTTTTAGAAATAATCGTTTTCTGTGATAAAAATGGCGTTTTCGTGTAAATGAGAGGGCAAAACGCAGAGAAATATATCTGCGTTTTCCCATCGTGTAAACAGGGCCTCAAACCTGAAAAGTTTTGTGGCTCCGTTTTCATTTGATTATCATTGTACACTTGGCAGCTTAGTTGTAACACTTTGTTACAACCAACCCCGTTGTGTATTACATATTTTAAACCTAGCTAACAGTCGCTAGGAATTGCTGACATCAGGGGCGGAGTGGGACCAAAAAATCTACCGGGAAATTTCGTAGACCACCGGCCCTCGTCGCCGGCACGATTAGCCAATAGCATTTACAGTTTTACTGATTTAAAGGGAACTTTGTTGTACTAGTATGCTGGAGTAAAGTTCATAAATGGTCGTTCTTTCCCATAGTACTTTCTAAAACTAGTTGGGTGGACTCTGTGCCTCTAGGGGGGTTCGGGGGCATGCTCCCCCGCAAGAAAATTATGGACATTTTAAGGTTATAATGCATCAATCTCATGCTCTCTGAGAGATCGAAATTAAGACCCATCAACTGCTCGTTGAACAAAGAAAAAACATTAATTTGTACCAGGACAATAAAGAGGGCTCAGATATTTTTTTTAGTTATGAGAGTCTCAGTTTGCATTACATTATCAATGGTGTTTTAGGATGCCAAACAATTATTATAATAATGTAGCCTAATAATGATTTATAATTATTCCTATGACGTACTGTAAAATCCATAGCCTATGTGTAAATGAAAATGAGTATTTCAAAAGTATATTTTAACCTACATTACACTATAATATAGGAAAATTAAAATACTTTTGTCCTAATTTCTTCACTTGCAAGAAATAAACCCTTGAGCTTTTATTTAGGAGAAAACACCAGATGATCGCGAGAGCAAAGTAATCACGCAGAACAAACTGGATGCTATTCTAATGTCAGTTATTATAATGGCGCAACGCCATATGGTTTCAATTTTAGTTCGTTGGCAAAATATAACGCTAGAGACCTTAATGTTAGGTTTTACATTTTACATCTTTACATATATGTGTTGGGAAAAGGGAGAAGAGAGAGTTCGGCAAGGCGGTTTCGAACTCGCGTTCAGCGCATCAAAAAGCTGCATTCAAACACTTCACACCCTACGACCTACGCCACTGAGGCTGTTCTTTGAAGGGTGTCGTTTTGCTGTAAAGACAGGCATTTAGTGCAAATATATGCTCCGTTATAAAAAATGTAAAAAGAAAATTGTTTTCTTACCTTAGCTTGGGCCATGGCGAACTTCCAATAAATACATTTTATCAGACCGGGCCGGCCCTCGCGGCCTCGTAACACTACCGGCCCACCGGGAAAACTCCCGACTCTCCCGATTGCCACTCCGCTACTGGCTGACATGTTTCAAAACGGTGCTATGTTTGAGCCAACAAGACAGGGATTAAGGCAATATAAAGTTAGATTTGGAACCATACATCCAACCCTGAAACCGGAAAAAATCTATGATGAAAAAACTTACTTTCATGATGTCAAAACACTCTTTGTCCAGTATCTTCACGAAATATAATCAAAACTTTCCGCAAATCCGCGGGAGACCGTCTTCTGGCAGCAAGTGAAAAAGAGCGGAAAGACGGCCGGTTTGATCCTGACGAACTACAGTATGTAAAAAGTCCGTGTTACATTTACTGTAACCCCCCTTTTAGGTTGTGCCCCGCGCTCCCCTACCTTCCCACTGCAAGGACTGACTGGCATCTGGCATGACAAACTCCTTTTTTTTCAAATGCAACAGTGAATGGTAAAAAATGGAATCAATGCTTGTGTGTGCATATCCATTCATGACATCATGGTGCAGGACTCAAAACCAGTTTGAGGGTCAGGGTTCCTGAAATCTGGCCCTGGAGGGCCACTAATCTGCAGAGTTTAGTTCTGACCCTAATCACAGACACCTGAGCAAGCAATCACTGTCTTCAGAGTTAAATAATAATAATAATAATAATAATAATAATGATAAATGTGGAAAAAAAGTTTTTAGTCCTGCATTTTAATTGATTATGTGGCCAAAAAAAGTTGTTTCAATTATTGAAATATTACAAAAACAATGTTTGTTCCTTTAGCATACACAGATGAATCACTTACAATGAGACTGTGAACATGTATTATGGAAATAATTTAAGTCAATTTTAAGTTCATGTTGGCATTTCGTTGAAAAGAACCAGTGAATTGCTGTTTTGACCAAACTAAAACAAGCTGTCCAAATTTGCTAAAATTATTGTGCTAAGTACTTGAGAAAGTGACATTTTAGGAGATCAACAAATTGCTACATAAAAAAAACAACAAAAAACACCACTACTTATAACACAGTCTCATCCCAAAAAGTCATATAACTGACGTTTTGGGACGTATTTTGACCATACGTCAATATCCGCCTTTTTAGGGCCCCCTTAAACGTCGGTAGATGGCGATCCCGGGCCGTCATACAACTGACGCTTTACCTTTAACGTCAGTTAGGTGACGGGTTAGGTTTAGGGTTAAGTTTAGGTCTGGGGTAGAGTTAGGATCCCATAACCTCATCTACCGACGTTTAAGGGGGCCCTAAAAAGGCGAATATTGACGTATGGTCAAAAGACGTCCCAAAACGTCAGTTATATGACGTCTTGGGATGAGACCGGGTTGCTACTTATACAAATGCTGTAATTCAGGAAATCCAGTTCTGCATTTTCTCTATGATCTTGTATGTGACTTATGAAATCTTATGTTACTGTATTATCTACATTATAAACACCAAACCTATCAAAAAATGGTCTGCATGGTTTATGTAAGGCAAAAAGGAGCAGCCTTTTAAGTTTTTATTTTATTTAATTACTACTTAGTGGCAGGCCAGCCTGATAATGCTGGATTGCAACGAGCTCCAGTCATTCAATAGTTTGTGTGGTAAGCATTACTTACAGTGCTGCGCCACATGCTGTAGTCCTTCTCACCATAATGAGTGTCATTCATATCAGGCCAGAGAGGGGACACAACTGCCAAGTGCAGACAGCAATTCTCTCCAGTCACAGGAGCATATAATGTAAGCGGGCCGGCGTTAATTCAAACCTCCTCTTGTCAGAGCTGTCAGGCTGAACCCGCAGCCGAGGAGGACCAGCCACCACAGGAGGTGTCAAGCGCTGTAGGTTTCGGGTGAAGGATGAGGTGGACGTGTGTTGCTTATGAGGAGGTGAAAACACTCCATCTGTTTCCACTCAGAGCTGCCCTGTGAAGGCTTCAGCACTTTCTCCCGTGTTTCTGCGGTGTCCTTCCTTTGCATTTGTTGGTCTTCATGTGCCAACCACCAGTCTTTCTGTCCTGACTCTATGGTTTGTCTTTGTATTTCTCCATATGCGCTTGCTGTGTCTCCAGAGAGTCTGTGCTACATCTCAATTTCCTGCGACATCAGAACGACATCAATTTCACACCCTAATTAGGCACTTAAAAAAGAAAAAAAACACACGCTATGAAATCAATTAATGGGATGTTTAATCATTCTAGGGTCGTATTGAAGTGGAAAAATGAATTAAGCTAACTGATAGCTTGACCTCAAATGGCATGTGAATAATTGAAGGTTCAAATTTTGTTAAAGCATTGTTCAAAAGTGAGTAATGTCTGTACCCCTAGTAGCACCACATGGGATTTCAAAAGTAATGAAACAAATGCTTCTTCATTATTGGGATGATCTCATGAGTATTTGTTTGTAATTGGCGTAAAATGTGGTTCACATTTGTTTAACGCAGTTGACTCATTTACCTATTTTGAAAATATTTCATTCTATAGCCCCTTTCACACAGAGATTCCGGAAAATACACGGATAATGTGACCCGGCATTTGTCCCGGGATTGTTTGATTTCGGTTCATTCACACTGCCAGTGATTTGCCGGGATCTGTGAGTGCGTTCACACACAACCCATAAAGACACATGACGTCAGGATGAGACGTGTAACGTACGCGTCGAAAACATGTACACACGCATACCGTTCCACAAAGCTGGTGAACGATCTCAGCTTCAGCGTCACGTGGATAGTGAGGAGCTCCTGGTCTCTGCTTCGCTCCAGTTTGCAGACATTTGTTCGTCCTTTCTTTGTTGAAGACGGACACGGCACTATGACACACCCCTTATGGCATTGGTCCTGGCTTTTGTTCACACAGCGCATGTTCCGGGACTGATTCCGGCAATGTTACTAGGTCCCCAACCCGGCATCGATGCCAGTATCAATCCCGGGTCGTGTTTGCGTTCACCAAATTCTGGCAATTTCCTGAGATCAACACGCTGTGTGAAAGACCTGTCAATGTGTTTCAAAGAATTACGTAATGATAAACTAAATAAAATATCATAAAATGATAAAAAGACTTTAAAACCTTAAATTAAGACAATTTCTGTAATCATTTAACCATTACTTATCATTTAATATTTATTTTGTTTGCCATGGGACACAAAATACATTTTCTCAAAATGCTGTGACAAAAAAAAGAAAAAAAAGAAAAAAGAAAGTCACCTTTATTTATATATCAAGTCACCTTTATTTATATAGCGCTTTATACAATACAGATTAATTCAAAGCAGCTTAAACAGTGATAAATGATTCGATGATGCAAACGGAATTCAATTCTGCTGTAAAGCAGCTCTAAAAATACAATAGTGAACAGTCATTATTCAGTTGAAGTCAGTTTGGTTCTGGTGCATTAGCCACTTTAGTAAATGAAAAAATAAGAAAATGCAGTAAATGGTAATAATTTGCGCTAAACCAGTGTGTTTATAATTACGATAATAAATTAAAATAACATGATTACCAATAACGTGCTATTTGCAATATCAAGCATCATAATGGACAGGCCTCATGATGGCCATAAAATAGCCTAAACCAAAAAGGTAATTAGTTTACAAACAGAATGATTTTTGTGATAGACAGACCCAAATTCTAGCCTTTTTTAGTATTCTTCATCTAGCTCAGTCAAATCCTACATTCATTACAAATTCAAAATTGTGTATTTGTTAGTGAGACGATTGTCAGTAATTATCAAATTGAATTGTGTTGAAATGTATGTAATTCACAAAAAAAAAAAAACCCAACAACAACAACAACAAAAAAAACCTTTTATACCACAAAAAAATAGGACTGTGAATGTAACACATTGTCATTTGGACTACTTTATAGTGCTTTTCACATTTTAATTAATTATGAATTAATTATGGGGAGCTGTATGTATGGTAAAGTCGAGAGGATTAGCAGCTAAGAAATAGCCTATATTAAATATTATGCTATAGCTACAAAAGGTTAATTTCTGCCCTGCGAATCTGAAGAGAGGTCAAATAATGGATTTTACTCTTTAAAGCTACTTGGTTTGCAGTGTAGTGGGAAAGTAGATAACTTTCATTAATTATATATATTTATGATTTATTAAGCACTCAAGTGTGGCATCATATTTTGTCCCTTGTGGTGTCCAAATACATTTTTTTTATACTCAAAGTCTAGTGTGACCACGGCTTTGCTCAGTAAATACTCATACTCACACCTTTGCCAGAAGTTGACATGTCCAGAGCCACAGTGATTACACACTTTTCCCTTTACAGTCTCACTTTCAAGTATGCTTTTAGCAGTACTGTTCATGCAATCTTCCACCAGTGAATTGCTTGTCTCACTCATAATCTAGAATGAACTGGTTTTCAGAATCTATAAATGGACACAGTGACTGTTTGACATGGGTAATGCTATCATAAAGTTTTGTGCCGGATGTGTTGGAGGCAGTTGTGGCTGAGCTTGCATGGCAATGTTAAATTGTCCTTGAGTTGTGAGGTCTGGGTGCGTGTGAAAGGGTGTCTGGCACAGGTGCTGGCTCCAGCTCTAAGAAAATCACCTGTCTCCAGAGAAACACCAAACTAATGAGCATGTTGAAGGCTGGTGGCACAAATGTCCACATAATCCAGCTAACAGGAGCCAAAGCCAATACTGCCTGCCGACGGTTGCATGTGAATAGCCGGCACACCTAACACAATAACAGAAACTAAATGCCTTTCAGCTTGATTTGGTTATTATTTATACAAAATTGATTGATAGATAGATAGATAGATAGATAGATAGATATTGTTTTATATACAGAAGGATATGATGAGTTTATTTCATGCATGTGTCCTTCATGAGTGAACTTTGAGTCTGTAACTCCAGAGTGTTTGTTGAGCAGTGCTGGCAGGTTTTAGTGACAGGGGTCAGACACAGGATTCGGTCAGTAAAGCCGCAGGTATCAAGGTGACTCGACTCTCATTTCACTGCCAAACAAGAGTTCAGACTCATAAAAAATACTCTCACGACCAGTTCTGCCCTTAACTTTACATGGATGGAGGGGGACGATGTGATGTAGCCAAGTTGGACACGCTCCTGGATTGACATTGTTTCTAATACTAATGAAAAAAGAAAAGAAAAGAATCAAGTTTCAAGTCTCAAATTTTTGAACGGTATTGTATAAGAGACAACTGTGGTTAGGGTTCACCGTCATAGCAACCATTTACTTGTCAAAAATCGTTTTACCATTCGTTGTAAAACTGTTGACCTATTTTTCCGAACGCCTCACAACCGTACATTCTTCCATTGAGAGCTTGAATAATAGACACTACAGACCAGTTGGTGGCGAT